AAATATTGTTCGAACAAAAAACACCATAATACGTATTTATAACATACGCTGAAGCATAACGTGACAATGTAACATTATTTACACGATTAAACATTATGAAATATAAAATAAGTTTTTTTGATTAGCCAGTCACGGTAATTATTAGCTTGTAGCATATTAAAAGTTACTAATAACGCATCATATATTCTGTACGTCAATAGTATATATACCTATTACAAACTTCTACGAATTCATCGTAACGTATTGTTTCCAATTAAATGTTTTAAATGTATTAAAGGAATGCGTGGGTTTAATGTCTATATTATGTAAAGTTTCGATTAAATCGTTAATTAACTCGGTCTTACAGGCGCTCCAAATTTTAAATAATAAAATCATGTTGACTGACGGTAGTAATTAATCATTCAATGTAATTGTATAATATTGGCATCTGAACGGTGGGCGTGGTCTATCTCAAACGAGGTAACCGTCGAGCGGCGGCATATGCGTATGCCGTAATATAATGGAAAAGTTTTGAAAATTGGTTAATATTTTCATTTTTCAATCATAATGGGTTGATATTTTAATTGTGTACAATATACATATAATTTTGCAAGTGTTATCACCTAAATTGATGTTTTAAATATACTTTATATAAACAATGTACTGGCTGTATACTTTATATTTGCAATTCTATAATTGAATTTCTATTAGAATAATATTTTTACAACAAATATATAGTTTATTTTATACATCTGATTATCGTGAATTCGTGATTGTATATAATAAATCAATTATTTTAAGTTGTCATSAAGGCTGTAGAACTACAGCTGTGGTTGTCATATTGTTTTCGAAATAGTCTAATGAAAATAATAATATTTATTGCAAACCTATTTTCTATTAGHGGATAGAATTGATAAGACTATTGATACTTGTCACTTGATAAGATTATTATGATCTATAAGAAGTACAAATGAATGTAAACCTGTTAAAGTATTTAATTTCTGATCAGTATCAATTAATTCTGTAAATGAAAWTGATAAGTCACCACTAGTTACTTGCACTTGAACATCCTTTAATAAACTAGTAATGGCTGTTGAAGTACATTGGTCGATAACAGAGTTGTTATCCAAAATAATATKATTATTTATATTATAACTTGTATCGTTATTAAATTCTTGTTTTTCAAAACTTAAATGACATTTTTCAGAAGTAATTTTGTTTCTTTTTTCTGATCGTTCAGATCTTGCAATTAGTGATAATTCATCAGAGGATTTGAATTGCTTACATTTAGGTATAGAATCAGAAACTTTTTTCCTCATTTTCAGAACATTGATCCATTTTTTTTCTTCTTACCGCATCATTAATTTTAGGAAATGTAGCAAATTTAATTTCTGGATTTCTCCTAGCCAATRAAGTACACCCATATACACAACAAAATTGTTTTTACGGTTTTTTTATTGTTTTTTTAAATGTTGCACCAAYTTCCATCTTGTAACGTTAATCAAAATTGAGAAATATCACTAGGTAGATATATGAAATGATGCGATAAACAGTTCATAAATCATATTAAAATAGGTAGTCTGTGATAGTAATGATACTTAAGTTAAAAATATAAATTATATATAATATATTATACAATCTTATATCAAAATAATTCGATATTACATATGATTGTGCWCCACTAATTATTCTACATTCTACAAATTCGCTATTTATAGACTGTTGTATTGTAGATGGTTACCTCGTTTGAGTAGTTACAAAAAAATCCACCAAAGCGCGTAACATAGTTGAGCGATTACCAATAGTATATGCTTATTGTTTTAATTTTTAGCCTGGAAATATTAATACGTATAAGGTTTGGTGCAACTTACATTTAACGTTGGTTTTTTAAAACGAAATAGGCGCCGCGCTCAGATTATCAATGTAAATTAAAAATTAACTAGATATCTGCTGTTATATAATATCGTACTTGGTGTTATATTATAAGTATATACTATATATAAAAATGCTCTGAGGCGGAGGTTTGCCTTTATTTTCACTCCCCCCCCTCTTGAACATCATGTATAATCGCCACTGCAGGATCCATAATATTAAAGATAGGAACTGAAAAGGTTGCCAGCATATAATATATCGAAATAAAGTTTTAGAAACAAAACAAAATTATACTGTCGTCACCAGGGACTGGAACCGGAACCGAAAGAACCGGTTCTGGGACCGGTTCTTGGAGATAATCTAGGAACCGGAAGCGGAACCGGAACTCATATTACACAATGCTTAGAACCGGAGTTAGAACCAGAACCCCATTTTAATAAGCAATAACTTTTCCGGTTCTTTAAGGTTCTTATCGGTTCTAAGAAAAAATTCTGTATTTAAAATAATTGAAAATTTTATTTAAATAGGATTTTGTTGTAATCAAATAATAATTTTTCATAGAAATATTTTTGTTTTGTACGTAATAAAATGTGATTTTTTAAGTTATTAATTCGAAATAATCGTATTGTAATTTGTAGGAAAGACCGACACTGATTAATTTATATTTCATACACATACACCATACGGGTTGCATTTTTCATTGCTAATAATAATATAACGAGAACGGTCGATAACAATGATGCATTTTTCTACGAATGTATGATATTGTTGTTTAAAAATACATTCAGACCAGGTAGGTATTTAATTATTTTGTTCAGAAAAAATGTGATCCACTAATTGTTTTTTCGCTGACCCATGTGCACCATATCAAATTTGCAGTCATCAAAACCAACCTTGTGTTATTAGCTTTAGTACCTATAAGAGTAAGTTGATTTAATATTATGAAACTTAAAGATAAGAAAATTACCTGTGTTTGTAAATTGGCTATTGTTCAATATTTAAATTTTAAATTTGTATGCAAGTTAAGTCTTGTGAAGTTTTTGAGTGAATGTATTTAAATACTTGTATAGAATTTGGAATACTATTTATTAAGCAAGTATTAATTAAGTATTTTGAAAGTATTTTAAATAATGTATTGGATATACTTGACATTTGTATTTGAAATTCAAATACATTTATGTAAATACTTTAAAAATTCAAAACGATTATTCGTCAGTCGTCATGTGTTAGATTATTTT